CTTCAACAAATGGTGCTGGCACAACTAGATGTCAACCTGTAGAAGAATGAAAATAGATCCATATCTATCACCATTCACAAAACTCAAGTCCAAATGGATCAAAGACCACAATATCAATCTGAACACACTGAACCTGATAGAAGAGAAAGTGGGAAGTACCCTACAACAGATGGGCACAGGAGATCACTTCCTATGTATAACCCCAGCAGCACAGACATTAAGGGTATCATTGAATAAATGGGACCTACTGAAACTGAGAAGCTTCTGTAAAGCAGAGGACACTTTCACTAAGACAAAAAGGCAACCTACTGACTGGGAGAAGATCTTCACCAACCCCACAACAGACAAAGGTCTGATCTCCAAAATATATAAAGAACTCAAGAAACTAGAGTTCATATTCTAACAGAGATTTAAACATTTATCTTGGATTGGGATGATGGCTCAGTGGATTTGAAGGTCTAAGTTCTGGTCCCTAGCAACCATATAACTTAACCACACCTGTATCCACAGCGCATAGGAGCTGGAGATAAGAGATGGCTGGCGTGTGCTGGTACTGGCTGAGCTCCAATTTCAGTCAGAGGCCTTGTCTCAGGGCAATGAGAAAGAGTGACGGAGCAGGGTACCTGACATCCTCCTCTGGCCAAATGTGTCTGGGCGTGCATGTACATGCACACACCTACACACCTGCATTAACAAAAGCAACCTCACTTAAATTAAGACTGGGATAATTTGCTTTGTACTCATTTTCTCAATTATATTAAAATTTTATTTGTTTTATAAAGGTAAATTTTATTAAAATTATTTGAAAAAAATGGTATTTATTCTATCATCTATCATCTGTCTATCTATCATCTGTCTATCTATCATCTGTCTATCTATCATCTGTCTATCTATCATCTATCTATCTATCTATCTATCTATCTATCTATCTATCTATCATTATCATCTCTTTGTTTAATGTCATCGTGTAGCCCAGGCTGGCCTTAAATTCACTATGTGAAACAAGCTAGACTGTAGCTTGAAACAATCCTCCTGTTTTAGTTTCTCAAGCACTGAAATTACAGACATAAACTACCACACTTGGTTAGCAAGTTGTTCTTTTCTTCCTGCAACAACCCAATTCCCACACTTATTCGAGCATCATGCTAAGTGTGATGCTACCATTTCCGTGACCTGAATATGATGAATGACATTTTCTTTACCTGTGATATGACAGGCTGGTGTTATACATACTGTCTAACATGATCTGCTTAACAATTCACACAGAGTACACCACTAAATCATAATTACTAAATATCCCTTTAAGTAAGGTCTTAGTTTCTGGGAAAATGAGAATTAAACTTTTTGTTTCATTAACATTTCTGGTGCTGGGCAAAGTGCATGCTTTTAATTCTAGCATTTGGAGGCTGAGGCAGGATGGAACTTCATGGGCTCAAGGCAAGCCTGGGTTGCTTAATGATGCCCTGTGTTAAAACAAAGCAATGAAAGTCTGTGCAGGGTGTTTTCTTTCCTCTTTCTATTTTCTTGTTCTGTTATTTCCTTGTGAACTCTTGATTCTTAGAATCTTTTTAGTTTTAGATTTATTCTAATACACGGACCAAAGCATATTCATTTTAGGTTAAAAATAGCCTGATCTCAAAGATATCCTTCAGTCTTTCCTTAAGAATTCCCTGTTGGGTTCACCTTCTTATTTAGCTTCTCTAGGATCACAAATTATATGCTCAATGTCCTTTATATATGATAGGGAATCACTTGGGTATATTCCCAAGAGTGTTATTACTGGATCTTGGGGTAGGTTGATCCTGAATTTCCTGAGAAATCGCCATACTGATTTCCAAAGTGGTTGCACAAGTTTGCATTCCCACCAGCAATTGATGAGTGTGCCCCTTACTCCACAACCTCATCTGCCTGGATATGGGAAGTAGACAAGATTGCCAGGCAAAAACTGGGAACTTGGAGGTGAGGTGGCATTGGGGCTAAGGGGAATTGGGGTGAGAAACGTGAGAAGGGGAGGACTGGGGGAGCTTGGGGGAATGGGATGGTTGGGATAAAGGAAGGGTGGACATAGGAGCAGAGAAATATATATCCTAATTAAGGGAGCCACCTTAGGGTTGGCAAGAGACTTGACTCTAGAGGGGCTCACAGGTGTCCAGGGAGATGTCCCCAGCGAGTACCTTGAGCAACTGAGGAGAGGGAATCTGAAATGATCCTATCCTATAGCCATACTGATAAATATCTTGCATATCACCTTAGAACCTTCATCTGGCAATGGATTGAGATAGAGACAGAGACCCAAATAGGAGCACCGGACTGAGCTCTTAAGATCTAAATGAGGAGCAGAAGGAGGGAGAACATGAGCAAGGAAGTCAGGACCACGAGGGGTGCACCCACCCACTG